GCTCCTGGCATTCCACAAATAAATCCTCTCTGCACTTGACTACATTTTACTCGTGCTCTCAAAGCCTGGTCTAGACTTCTTTCTATGATTCTACGAATTACGCTGAAAATCGTTATTGGCCTCCAGTTGCATAAATTTTGTTCGTCCCCCTTTTCCTTGAATATAAGAATAGTACGCCCTGTTCGGAAAGTTAAAGGGATATAGTTCCATTCTAGCATTACTTTCCCGATAGCCCATATAGCATTACTGCATTTTACATTTCTTATTGTACGGAGAACAATTCCATCGGGGCCTGGGGATGTGTCTATACATATCTTTTTAATGGAAAGCTCAATGTCCTCTTTTGTTATTAGAAATTTCTCGTTAATATCTACGCTAGATTCGTATGCCTCGCGTATTTGATTGTTGGGTATCTCGAAGAGGGAACGATAGTGTTGGTCTATAACTGGAGTTTCCATTTTGAGCTTAGCAGATTTTTTTGAATTCAGAAGTTTCCGCGCTACTTTGCGACGTTGATTTGCATATTGCCATTGTATTAGGTCATAATTGTATTGGTCACTAATTTTTTTTTTTCGCCGTTTAGAGTATCTTTGTGGGTTTGAGACTTGGCTATTACCCTTATCGCAGTTTATATCTTTTTTATTTTTCCTTTTCCTATGATACGACACTGCAGGGTGGATTGGACCGGGAAGTTGATTATTAGATTTGTATAGAAATAATGAAAACTCTTTTACGAGTTCATCAAAATTGTCGAAATTATCTTTAGTCGGAGGTTTTAATACATATTTATCAATTTCGGTGAAAAATCTTTCCGATTCTTTAATTAAAGTAGATATTGAATCATCTTTAGAAGTAGTCTCGGAATGTTGTGTATCTATAGGAGTCGGGTCTACTGTATTCTGTGAATGTATTGGTGTGTCGGATTGTGCTGGGTGGTTGGTTAGGTCTGGTGTGTTATTGATTATTCTTTGCGCCCTTAATTCCGCGCATGGACCTGATGCCTTTGCTAAATGACCATTTAAAGAAACGTATTTTTTACCGCAACCAGGACATTCGATTTTTGGTTTGGCACTTCTAGCTGTACCCGCGCTAATATTCATTCTGTCGCTTTGTAAATACGGAAATAAAAATTCGGAAACAATAATGACGGGCGTTAAAGTCTCCAATCTGAAGTTCGCAACGGTTTGGTGTAGAAATGATAAAGCTAGTAGTAGTGATAACGAGATTAACTTACGTGATCTTGAAATCAAAACCGCAACAAACTTTGTAAGAAAAATTCGTTTAGAAAGAAAAGTAGAACTTACAAATAAGGTCAATTAAACAGTGTGGTTTCTTCTGTTTAATTACAGTATAATTTAAAAAAATTATGTAAAATTCACTTTAGAAAATAAAAATTTAAAAATTTAGGTGAGAGCACAAACGCACTGTTTGTAAAAAA